AGCGTGCTTTTTTCTCTACTCAGCTCGTGTCCCTCTGTGCTCTCTTATTACCACAGTTCCTTTTTAATCACAAAAGATCACAGAAAATAAATAGATGTACACGATGTTTTATTACAAAGGTAATGCAAATCATTCATTTGATTAGTTTTTGAAGACATTTTAATAAAAGTTTTGCATCCTAGGCGGTATCCAGTTTTTAGTCATTTGTAATGAGTTGAGTGCTTCATGTTGTGGTTTTTGTGCAGTAATTTCCAAGTGTTGACTATAAGTAATTTTTTTCTTGTGGTGGCTTTGAGGTTACTGAAGGGTCAGTTGCACTTTGAGGGCTGTTTGAATAATCAATGTATGAATGAAATTGGTAGAAAACGGCCATTTGGATGATAAACAGAGCTGCAGCTGAAATTGATTGCCGTTGCCTCCACTTAAATCAAAAGACAAGTTTAGCAGAAAAAAATCAAGAACAAGCATATCTAAGTGATTACATGTAGACTTTTTGTTCCTTTTAATTGTGAAAAATGTCCTTGAAACTACACTATGGACATTAGAGCAGCACAGGCTTAATGCACGTTTCAGAAGTAATTCCCAGAAGTCAGATTTTTTTAAAGCGAGTGAAAAAAACAACATTATTCTAAAAAGGCGAGGGGGAAAACACAGAAACCTTTGTTATTCTTCACCGTCTTAAACTCATTAACATTTTCAGATACCGGACCATAACTTGGGAAATAAACTCTTTCACCATTTTATCTTTAATCATGTTCAAACATGATTAAACATGGGGGAGGGGGGGGGGAGTGGTGGCGCAGAGGTTAGAAGATGGGCCTGTGATCGGAAAGTCGCAGGTTCAACTCCCGGTACCGTCAACATCAAAATGTGGGTGGAAAAGGTGGAACACCCACACCCTCCTCCACCCTCACTCGCCCCACCCTGGGCCCCAGAGCAAGGCCCCCAAACCCACCATCTGCTCCCTAAACAGATCTCTCTGGAAAATGAGTTCTCGTGGCTCAATGAGACTACCTGTATAAATAAAGGGTAAATGAAACAAAAAAAACTTTTATTTTTCTTTTCTTATTATTTGATACAATATCTTTGCAGTTATTCCATCGTTACTGTTTACATCGTACTTTTTTTTTAATCAATCACTGCTTGCAAAAATAACACACATTTATGGCACCATAATATAGCCATGATGCTAAAAGTGAATAAAACTGATTTTGTTACATTAAAATGAGCAATTAAAAAAACATTGTTTAACCTTTGTTGTCCAGGGTTCTGAATGAGTGCACCCATTCCATTTGCTGTCAAAACTATTCAGAACAGTCAGAGCATAGGCAAAGAACATCTTGTGGCATGCAGTGTCTGGAACAAGAAAATTTGCCATAGATTATTTAATCCTCTGGGTGATTTGCTGGATTTTAGGTAGATTGTGCTTCTCGTGCAACTAGAAACATTGCTATCTTTTTTTGTACCTGACATGGCTGGACACCCAAATGGGAAGTCTACTCATTAAATAATATTGGAAGACACAATTGATATACATTTCCTAAGAAAACGAAAATCTATAAATTCTAGTTGGGTGCATTGTTTCTCTGTTACATCACCAACAGCTTAGTGCGCTGAGAAAATTGTAATAACGCTGCGTGAGTGGAGTGATGCTGTTTTATGTGCTTAAGTTGTTACTGTGGGACATTGTACAAAAGCTCCAAGCTATGAGCTAATTTATGCTTTTTTTTTATTTGTGTACTACATCCTGCATTGATCCCCCACCAGCTTCCTACCTATAAAGCACAAAGCTGGTCAGCTTTTTTATTATGTGGGTTTGCAAACAACTCTCATGTATTTGGCTTTGAGCAGGAAGTTATTCTTTGGTAAATGAACATTCTACTTTAATTTGTGTATTTAATTATAAACTGGGATCATAATTTTGAAATACATGGGTTAACACTTAGTTTGCATGTTGTCCTTTGGAATTTTTATTTATTTGTTTTTATGTACCCTTTATATACACAAGTAGTCTCACTGAGTCACGAGAACTCAATTTTCAAGAGAGACCTGTTTTTGGGAGCAGATGGTGGGGGTTAAGGGCCTTGCTCAAGGGCCCAGAGTGGGGCAAATGATAGTGGAGGCTGGTGTGGGTGCTTCACCTTTTCCACCCACATTATGATGTCAGTCCAGGGAGTTGAACCTGCAACTTTCCGATCACAGGCCCATCTTCTCTAACCTCTGTGCCACCACTCCCCTTACATTGAAATTACATTGTTAGTGATGTTGGGGCTCTTTTATTAAGGTCTTGTCTACATAGATTTTTTTTTTCTAAAACTATTTATTTTTGTTGTTTCTAGAAATATTCTTGTAAACATTCAATTCAGTTTTCAATTCAGTTTATTTATATAGCGCCAAGTCACAACAGAAGTCGCCTCAGGGCAATGAACAGAAACATTCATATATAAAAATAATAAGTTAACATTATTTATCTGAGGAGCAGACTGCTAAACATGGCATTGCATACATTGAAAACAACCTAAAATACTATAGTACGGTAGTTGTACATTGGCATTTCACAATTGTTTTTTCACTTCAGAACATGTAGCTTTTAAAAAAATAGTTTGGGGGATTCCTAAAATTCTGTTTTTGTGTAGAGCACAGTTTACTTTTCTATTTGGTCCTGGTCTGTATCTATGGCTCGTCTGTCCTCATCACCCTTTGCATTTCAGTTACATTGGCTAAAACAGTTAACGGTGAAGCAGAGGGGAACATGCCAACATAAAACTGGAAAACACTCAGCAAGTGATTGATTGTATGCTTGTAAAGTTGTTGCTGAGTTTGTAGACAAGTTAAGGCAGCTCTGTTGTAGGAGCGGGCTGATTGCCTGTCCTTTAGATTGAGGTTACAAAGCTTTTTGACAAGCGCAAAATGGGGTTGTCGGTGTGTAATGTTTTTTAAATTGATTTATTTGAATAATTTGCCCGCCCTGGCTTGTTTGTATTAGCATTTACCTCAAAACACGACTCTTCAGACATCCAGATAAGTGAGACTCAGACATTCTCGTACTTTGATCTGTTTTGAGCTTGGCTCATTATAACTATTGACAAAACTCACACATAAGTAACACATATCCAAAGACTGAAATATCACTTGCATTGTTTTTGTTTCTCTACACTCCCACCTCCATTGTCTCCGTAGTTTAATGGCAAATATTTAATACAATTAAAATGACAAACAAAACAATGTTAACTTTGGATATTCATTTTATGTTAATACCACATTTTCTATTTATACAAATAAGTTCACAAAATACAAAAAAAGAAACAATTAAAACGTTTCCCAAAATAAACAGGGAAAAATTAACAGTCACACTGAAAATACTTTTGGTTATCCTCAATGTTTTGTATTTTTACAGACAAATATTCCAGTTGCATCTCTTGCTTTAAAGTCATTTTGTTGGCACTAAACTCTCAAATGTGCACCAAAATACTGTGGGTATTTTTACAGCTGTTGGCAGATGTGTCTTTGGTACATTTACCCACAAGTACACTTGTTAGGTCTTCAAGCACTCCGAGGCATGCGGGTATATTAAGGCAGTAAATGACAGTAACTTGATGTCTGCAGGTCTTTGCACAAGACAGAACTTGCATTTTGACAGCGGTTGAAAGATCCACACACACACACACACACACACACACACACACACACACACACACACGTACGCACAATGTTATTGTAGCTCCTTCTTTGTGCCATGTTTACAGATTCTGAGCTCAGCACTCAGTCTTTTTGGTAGTCTTCCAGTGGATCTCTGCAAGTCTCATTGTCTTCTATAAAAGAGTACAAACATTATGAAGTTGTGCATATGGTTTTTACATAGTTATGGTTGAGTACAAGCAGGCAAAACTAGGGTCCGCTTTGCCAAGGAGAAATTGTGTATAGCACGTCATTAAGCAGGCTATTTTTACTCATATGAAACATAAGACATATCCACTATTTGCTTTGCTTGTTTTCAGCCAGGCCATGAAGTGTGTTGAGTGTTTAAGTTGTAGGTGAGGGATAATACAGTTTGCTTTATGGGTAAATGAAGAGCGTTTTGATTTTATGTCATCGAAATGAGGATATACTATAAGACCAACTTTAAATTGGTTGAAAGACAGTGCACTAAATCAGAGGAGGTTCAGTCTGTTGCTTCACTCTGTACCTTGTTGTAATCCTGCTTCCCTTTTTCTTTTGTATTTTCAAAGCATGACAAGGGCTTCGGAGTGATAAAAGGGGATTTAGACTTGACTTAGTTCAGACTCACATCTACTTAGACTGTCTGAAATTCTGGGGGCAAAGCCTTTTGACCGACTTTACTGGTACCAAATGAGTTTTAATCTTCAAAGATTTTAATCTGCTGTTTTGTCTGTTAGTCACAAAAACTGGGATTGGGTTTTAAGGGGGTTTTAACATTCAAAATGTTGTACTGTACAATAAAAAAATACAAAGAAACAAAAATAATTAAACATATATACAAAACAATTTAATCAAAACAAAGCAATATAAGAATCAGCTATTTTCTCTTAACTTCATTTTGAATCTTTAAGGTCATTCACAGCATATTCTGATCCCTTCGGGTAAGTACTGAGGAGTTGTACCGTGCAGAAAAAAAAAAAAAAAACCCAGCTGCTAAGATTGTTGATCTAGGTATTTGTGATGGAGAAAGGCACTACAAGCCTACGCTGATGCACAGTGTTCATAAAGAAAAGCATCAGCTTTCTGTGTGTCCTAGTTCCATATTTTAGTCCATGACAACACACCATCAGTACCAGCCTTAGGTCAGATTAATGTTCAAACAGTTTCATACTTTTTTTGTCTTTTTGGACAATCGTAGGGCTATGAGTTCATTGTATGCCCAGCTGCTCGTTTGCCAATTGGATGGTTGATACTGTCCTCTGCTTTCAAGCAACAGTCATGTTATTCCACTTGAAGGAACAGGGCAGATGAATTAAAAGTCCTCCTTTAGATCGGAGTCTTCAAGTCCAGCTGTCAAAAGTGATAAGGCTTATGCAAAGACATGTTGTTATTGGAAATACAATGATCTTGTAGTAACAACACCTCATATTCCAGACTGCCATTTTGGACAGCAGGTTCAGGGATCACAAGTTGGGGCTGTTTGTGAGGCATCATCCCATTGTCTAAGCCAGCTTTAACTCCATCCAACTCTAGCTGAGAGGGCTCGCAGTCTAGCTCCATGTTGCCCTTGGACCTCTTCTTGCGTAAGTAGCACACCACACCTACTGCTATTGCTATTAGTATCAGCAGTAGTATAATAGCAGTTGCAGGCACCAGCATAGTGGTAATTTTTTGACTTTCAGATTGGGCATTTGTCTGTGCAGTGATTAAAGGGGTCGTTTGAGCCTCAATGCAGATACTTTCCATGCCGCTGTAATCACCTAAAGGACTGACACACACAGCATAGGTGGAGTTAGGGTTTAGACCTCTGAGTCTATACTCTGGGAAGGATGCTGGGAGGTTGAGTTGATTTGGCCTGCGGTCTGACCCTGACAGATTGCTGTAAGTCAGACGAATACCCCGAATGTATGGCCGCATTTCAATGTACCGGTGGAGGTCTATCAGAATTGAAGTTGGGGTGGCTTGATGGGAGCTGAGGTCTGGTGTGTCTGTGATGATAGTTGCTCTGGATGATTCAGCTTCAGGTGGTGAAGGAGGAAATTTGCTTTGAATTTCACAAAACATCCCAGTGGTACCATATGGACAGGTGCACTCTACATGACCATGCTGATCCAGATGACAAGTACCGCCATTCAAACAGGTATTATCGGGACAGAAATGCTGTTTCTCATCTGGGTCAGTGCTGCTGCTACTGGTGGATGCAGGAGCAGGAAGTAGGGGAAAGTCATCATTATTGTCAGCTGGGTTGTCACTGACTCTGGGGACTTGAATAGTTTTAGTAGTAGTTGGGATAGTGGTGGGAGGAACAGCCCGGGTGGTGGTAGTAGTTTTGACTGTACTGGTGGTGATTGTAGTTGTTGTTGGACAGCCAAAATCTCTGTGATCCAGTCTTTCTAAAACTTTTCCAGCATTGCTGGGTGGGAAATGGCATCGTGTCTCTATGGTTCTCTCCAGGGTGATGCCTTGGGTTCTGAGCCATCTTGGGAACCATGCTAAGTTACAAAGACAGTTGAAGGGATTTTCTGCTACTGTGAGTTTTTTCAAGTTGGGGAAGAGCTGGGTAAACTCTTCAGGTAGGCCCTGAAGACTGAGACTACTAATGTCCAACTCCAACAGCTCCCTAAGGTTCTGCAGATCCTCAACCTTTGGAAGATCCATTGGGTTCCCAGCCAAATTAAGGTGATACAGTCCTGGGGTCTCCTTTAGTGCTGCGGGGAAAGACTCTAGTTGATTTCCTGAAACGTCCAGCTCGTGAAGATTTTTCAAACCCAGTAGAAGCTCTTTATTCAAACTGGTGAGCCCCATACCTCCCAATCTGAGGGACTCCAGGTTTGGAGTTTGAAGGTCTGAAGGACCTAAAGATGACAAGGCATTAAAGCGAAGGTCCAGCAACAGTAGCTGGGGCATTGAGAGGGCAGGCAGGGTGGTCAAAATGTTACCCTGCAGCTTGAGTTCCAACAGATGGTCTAAGCCATTGAAGGCTTCACGATGGATGGTCTTTATGCTGTTACTGTATAAATAAAGGCGTTCAAGCTGTGTTGCACCGTGGAAGCATTTCTCTGAAATGTGAGTGATCTGGTTGGATGACAAGTCCAAATTTTTTAAAGATGTCAAGGGTTCAAACACCCTATCAGGAAGATGGGTCAATTTGTTCTGACTGAGGTCCAGCATTTCCAGGTTCACTAGACCATCAAAGTCCTCGGTTTTAATGCCTTCAATTCCATTGGAAAACAGATAGAGGCTTTGCGTGGATGAGACCACTCCTTGGGGAAAGATAGAGGAGTGTCTCTGGAAACATAAAATGGATTCTATCGGCATGCAGGAACAGTCTTTTGGGCAATCTTTGGAAAAGGTGCCATCAGGAAAAAGCAGGAGGAGCAGAAAAGGCATCAGTGGACTCTGGAAGATCTTCATTGTGCGGAGTAATTCTTTCTCCATGTTCCGCCTAAAGTAAGAAAGAAAAACATTATTAATTACCAGCATGAATCGGAAATATGTAGTGATTGATGACTGTAAATAGGATACAACAGTACAACACATAAAACTGATGTCTCTGTCACTTATTAAGATCCAACTAAAATCTCTTACATAAGTTTACAAGTATCTTTGCAAGAAGACAAAATGTGTGACCAATGTATCACAACACAGAATTTCTGTTACATGATTTTTCACTTTGTTCACAGAAATTTACCAAACCATCTAGACATTTTTGATTTAGAGATTATTTTTACTCCATTTATTGAAAAGAGGTAACTATCAAAGGTAGTGATTAAAGAGATGGTTTTTCCTCATAGGTTCTCTGAAACAACAGGGCTGTAGGAGCAACCTGAGGCTTCAGAGGGAGTAAAAAATAAGATAAAGTGAAATGTAACATGAAAATAGGTTTTTGCAGATTTTTTTCTGTCTCTCAAAAACCTATTAAAAGTAATCAAATGCCCTCTCTGAATGAGTAACAATAAAACTACTTTTGAAATCAGTGTCTTCTTTGTTTGGTTGTTCTTGCGCCATATTGAACATAGCAAAGCATCCAAAGATGACACTGTTCGCTTTCTAAACTTGGAAAAACAGTTGATTATCTGGAACTGCCTTCCCACCTATAGATGCTCGATAAACAACTCAATTTCTGTATTGTTTTCCAGACTGACGGCTTGTAATACTAGTCAAACAAGTATCCCTACCACTGTAGGAAGAATGAAATATACTAATGAGAATAGATCATGGAAAAGATTTGTAACTGTGTTTTAAGCCTTTTCACTTGAGTTCAAGCCTTCTAAAACAAATGCCATGGTGAAGTGTCAGCACACTACTTCAAAGGATGATGGATTGGAGAGGGAGAGAGAAATGAGGGAGATAAAGACAAACTAACTGCAGACAAGAGTCTGTGCAGCACTTTATTTATCAGCGTCTTCTATCAAGCACGACGGCCTTGTGCAATGAAGCAACTTGTGTATCTGTCGTTCGTTGCTCCTTTTTAGGCAAGGTGTCAGTAAAAACATTTCATTTTTAAAAACATTTTTACACAGTTGGCTCAACGTGATTTTTAATTCCACTGCTGTTCCACAGTCATATTTAATGTGCTTTAATAATTGGGGCAAGCAAAGCATTTTATTTGTCTAAATGTCCATGTAAACATTTATGAAATCCTGTTTTAAAGTGTTGTAAGTATGCCAACTTGAATACAGGAGGAAGCTTTATTTATTGTACAGTTGTTGTTCTCTGTGCTCCATAAATAGCTAAAGTGGAAGCCCACATTGTTGGGTCCCACCGTTTTACACAAATAGAGAAAAAAACTGAATAATCTGTTTTCACACTGCTCACCTGGAGTTGAAGCCCATTTCACCGAAATATTTAGGTGATTTTGCTGGGCATGCTATGTTGTTTTTTCCTTAAGTTACATTTTCCTATGTAAATCTTTACTAGTATAACATGTAAATAACCCTTTAGACATGTAATGCAGCTAGTTTGTAGTTTATCTTTATGTTAAGGTCAGTGAACATGTTTGTTAGAGAGGTATTAAATTTCTATTGTATTGTCAATGATTAATTAAATTAAAAAAAATAATAACTAATGCAACACCAAGTTTGTTCAGTTGCTATTTTCTAAATAAGTTGCTGAAAATCACATCATGTTGCTGTAATTTTGTGCTTTGTCAGTTTTTCCATCTTGTCAATAAAAAAACTTTGAACTTTATTAAAACATGTAACAGAAAACAATTGATCAAAAATGACTTCCCTTAACTTTAATCCTAGAGGAAACAACAAAAATTGCATCAAACTGAGGATCGTAAAGAATTGCAATATCATTGTGTGTTTCCTCTCCGGTTCACCATAATTTAGTTTTCTTTTTGTTTTATCTTGAAAATTGTATTCCTTTAATTTGTCAGCTCTTTAGTTTGCCAAATGTCAGCTTTTTCAGCAGAGCAATTGTTGTCCATCCACATCAGTGAAGTCAACCTGAACCTTGGGACCTCATTAAACAAAACACCTCACATTTTAGAATAAGCACCTGCATGCACCATGAAAACACAAGCAACATTTGCAAACCATAAAAAAAACAATTATTTGTTCATGAAAAAACATGATGACAGAATCTGAAGGAAATAGTTTGCTACTGGTTACCGATCGATGAGTGGTGAAAAATTGCATTTATCTCAAACTAGAGAAATTACCTGTGGTAGTTTGGGGGGAAAAATCCAAGCTATGCACACTTGTTCTTTGTAGGAGTAAAATAATCCTAGTCATTAAAATAAACACTTGAGCCACAGACTCAAAGAGCAGCCAAAGCTCTTATAGTCTCCAATACACTGAGCTCTGAAAATATGGAAGTGTGGATGAAAGGGGAGAAAAAAGTGCGGCAGCTTGACTGTATTTGTGTATAGATCTAGAGAAAATAAAGAGATTTAGAAAGACAAACAGGAGATTAAAGGAGTTGAGAAAAACAAACAGTTGAAAGATATGCAGATTCTCTCGGGTTTTGATATCACTGTGTGTGGGTGTGTGTGCTGTGTTTCAGTTTTAAGTAGCATGGTGTGTTTTTGAAAACATAGAGGGTGTAAAGTGTGGATTTTTTTTGTTGTAAAATTTGAATAGGTTGCATCCGATGTTGTTGGAAGAGGCATTTTTTTAATTTAAAAACTAAAGAGAAACCCTATTTTGTGTAGCAATTCATGGCCAGAATTGGGTAAAGAGGTCAAAATATACAAAAACATCAATCAGCTCTGAGGAATAAGCATACCATGGAGATAAAACTGAGACTATTTTTCTAAGAACCCTACTGTGGTATTTCTGCCTTAGCATCCCTGGGGCAGAATGTTTATTTGAGTGTGTCTCATTCCAAACTGAACCAAGCACATCTGATAACCCTGCATAGGAGAAACTTTGGTGGAGGTGGACAGGGAGGGACTCAGTCTGTGCACACTGCCAGATCACAGATAAAACTGGAACTGGAATAGTTGGGTTCTACTGTTTTCTTTCTCTTTGGTTGCAACTGACTTGTGCTGATGAGTGGCTCAGATAAGGTGCATCATTTCTGTGTGGATCCAGGTTGTAAAGTTGTGGTGACCGATTGCTCCGAGTGGAGGTGCAGAGAGAGATAGTACAAAGACTTGTAATCCTGCACATGGAGTCATACCCCCCTCCCATTTTGTCTTCCTCCTCCCTTCTTGGGCTGCAATTTCCTTTTCTCAACCCTATGCACTTGAAGCATTCCTAAAGCAGGCAGAAGCTGAGTTTGAAAAAGTGAGCTTGACTCTCATTGGCATTTCAACATTTACAGGAAGCATTTTTGGATTTATAAACACACAAAGTTTGGACAGAGACCAGATCTGATTTGTCCGTGTATGAGTTACTTTGGGATTATATTAAAACAAAACATGTCTGTGGAAGAAAATGGTGGTAAAAACTTTTGTATGCAAAGCCAGGAGAACTATTTTGCTTAACACTAAGTGACAAACTCGATCAAAGCTTTGAGAAGAAAAAGAAGCAAGAAGAAGAGACATAAGGGATCATCACAATCCCACTCGGCTCAAACTCAGTTTTTGTCTTTTTGTCTTGAGAAAACACAACCAAGGGAACAGCAGAGATAAGACAAGGTTTCTGTCAGCAGAGGCTCAGATTGAATGAGACCTGGCTTTTGGAGATTGAAGTGGGATTCGGCAATTAAATCCTTGCAGCCTAAAGGGTCAAGAGTCCTTGTCCTCAGAGCTGAAGGCCAACACTGAGGGGCTATGACAGGGTGTGGACAAGCTGGCCTGAGACTAAATAGGTGTGCAATGCCAACTGGCTGTTAAAGATAAGGCTGCACACTACAGAGCGCATACTCCCACTAAGGAGGCTTTTATTTCAGGGTCCTTTATCTTCTAGGGCAACAATGCTCATGATATGTGCATGATGTACAGCGTTGATGGTCTGAAAGTTCATCCTATCCCTTTTCAACCGTCTGTGGAGTCTGTGCCACCAGCTGGATTTTGTTATCTGCAAGCACGAAAAAGGGATCAAGAGAGAGTTGGGAAGGTGGAACAAGTGATTTGTAGAATATCCAAAGTTGAAAGAGTCCTTGAGAAGTAACAAAGGAGAGAACTGACAGCAGACACATGTAGCACAGGTATACATATGAAAATGTCATGCTAACTAAAGACTGCTGGTACACATGTAATACAGGGACGTGTTTTTTTAAGACATGAACTAATGTATCTTTTATGTGGTGTTTCATTACTGAACATACCAGTCGGTCTATATTAGATGAGCTAATTTAACATCATGAATTTATGAAAAGTGCTAGAACTAGAAAACAGACGGCACTCTAATCTCTAAAATACAAGCACGTGGTTCTTTAAATTTAAAATGAACAAATCAAAGATCTAAGAAAGCGGTGTTTTACTGAAGACACTGGTAACTTTGTGAAATAGCAACGAAAAAGGAAACCTTTAATATGTTTCACAAGAGATGCAGTTACATCCCAGGACATCCTTGTAAAAGAGATTAATAATCTCGGTGGATTTCTTGCCTGGTAAAATAAAGGTTTAAATAAAATTTAAAAAAAACACCAAGATCAATCAAGAGGGTAAAACATAAAGATAAAGATTAAGATGAGATGAGCTGTGCTAAATAACTATAATGATAGTTTTACAATGACTGTCACTGATAACACCCATCTTGAAGCCAGTAAATCACTGCTGTTCTCTGTAGTTGTGAGGATGTGGATTGAGGGGTTAGTGGTTCAGCAATGTGCTACAAAACAAAACTTCCACCTGGTTTCAGTCAGACCACAAGAAAAGACTATTTTATAGCCACATTCACTCTAAATCAGCTCTAATAGTACTATATGATGTTACAAATGGTTGTTTCTATAATGAACACCAAAAACTACTTTATTGGGTCACTACGGGGCTGCTTTTTTTCTAACTTTAATTTACTTTCTCTTCTTTTCTTTTTTTTTTGCTTTCTA